AAGGAAGCGCTTTCAAAAGATGACTTATTTCCTCTCCAGTTCCTATAGGAGGCACACAGAAAAGAGCCAAAGAGCTGCATCACTCAATCCAAGCAGGGAAGGTTTAATTTCATCAGGCACTTAAACAAGGTGACACAGAAGCTTAATGCAGTGTCCTTGAGTGGGATGACAACCAGCCCAGAACCCTCAGCAACCACAGCCTGGGTGGCAGCTGGCAGATGGAGAAGGCAGCAAAGGAAAGGGCAATGCAGAAACAAGGACAGCAAGGCTTCTCCTTGCCTACATGGGGAACACAAGCAGCAAGGAGACCTGGGAGGGAAGCAGGGATCTCTGCCTTCGAGGAGGATGCAATTCATATGCTGCCTCCTCTTGCATACCATGATGACTCTATTGCTGAAGGAACAATGTGCAACACTAAACCCATCACCTGCCAACTGACCACACAACCTCCTACGTGTCCCCACCTTAACTTCTGCACCCCCTTCAGCCCATATCCATGGGGAAAAAGCCTTTTTGCACTATCCCCTTGGCTCCTGACCCCCAGCAGCCACATTGTCACATACCTGAATTGCTTGTGGGGCAATCCAGCCTCCCCTCTTTTCAACATCTTCCTTCCCTTAGGCCACTGCTGTTGAACTTTCACATACCAGTCTCAAACACTCATAAATGGAGCAGCTTTCTCCCACAGTGGAGGAAGATTCACTTCTCACTGATGTCGTCTTAACATGTCTAAGATGGAGCTCCCTTGATTTTCACTACCATCTTATCTGACAACTGCTGTCTTGGCCAATAACAGATCAAAGCCAGGACCTCCAGAGCCAAAAGCTCTGAGCTCTGCTGCAGAGGCTAATCCTCTGTGGATAAAAGCATGGGAGGGACCATTCAGCAGAGAGGAGTCAGATGCATCTCTAAGTTGCTGGGATCTGGATCTCAGTGAGACAAGCCTGCAGCCAGCCACCAGCTCCTACATCACATGCCACGGAGCACACACATTCCACACATCTTCCTTCATTGCACCAGCTCCCAAAACAGTGCTGCTTCATCAGCCTGAACGTGGACACGCTGAGAACACTGGGGGTCTTCAGCCTGGAGAAGAGAAGCTGCATGGAGACCTCAGAGCAGCTTCCAGTGTCTGAAGGGGGCCACAAGGATGCTGGAGAGGGGCTCTGCATCCTGTGCTTCCATGACTGTGACCTGCTCGAGCTCCAATCCCAACCCACCACACGCGTTTTCCACCCTCTCCACCAGCCCCACACGCGTGGTGCAGCCCCTGCTGCCATCTGCTGCCAGGCTCCACGGATGCTCTGCAGCTCACGGAGCACGAGAGCCCCCCGCACACATAGGCCCAGCATGAATGACTCTGCTCTGCAAATTACCGGTGGAGCAAGGGCAACGACAAGGGAAGCGAGCCAGGGCAATGCGTCATCAAAGGGGCTTTATTCTCTTATTTTGTCAACTGCAATTTAGATTTAATTATTTATGGTAATTCTTCAGAGTGCGCTGGTAAGCGGTCTGTAATGTCATTTATAAAAGGAAGAAAACCTAAGTAATAACTAATGTTTGCGACTGCATCTGCTATTAAATCTTTGCTGGGGTGGAGAGAGCCACACACCAGCCTCCTGTGTATGCAAAGTACCAATTAGCAAAGCACTATTGTAAAATGCAAAGGTTTAATCAATGGGGAAAATCCACTTGAAAACAGTGAGCATGCTGATTTCAGTTATCAAACCCACTGCATTTCTATACAGTAAGTAGCCTTTTATCTGCAACTGAGGAGCACTCAGGAGTGGGTACGGTGCTCCTCCAGGTAGCAGAGGAGGGCAGGAGAACCCGACCACTGCCCCAAGGCCCAGCCAAACGCACTCTGCACAGTGCTGGCAGCAAACATCCCATCCAGCTCCAGCCACCAAGACTCATTTGGCCTATGCACCGAATGAGCTGTTTCAAGGTGCTCACTGCAGAGGTTTCATGACTCAGGTTAGGTCTGACTGGGATAAACAAGGCTTGGTTCTGTGCCCAGGTCCAGCAGCCATTTGAGAAACTATTCCCTTCAGCAGCCCCATATCCACACCTCATCTGTCCATGCTGTTGGGTTTTCTCCCAGCTGTGCAGCACATCTGGGCACAGCTCTTAGGGAAGGCCTCCCCTAACTCACTGCAGCAACGTGGATTAATGCTGCTTGTACAACCAGCTGAACCCTTAACAAAATAACACATTCCACTTAATGAGAGGCCATTGAAAATAATCCTGGAGGGAGCAATTCCCAGGTCTGCGGCTGCCCCTGACCATACAGAAAGCGTCCATACACAACCGAAGAAAAAGAGAAGAAACAGGTCTGCTTTCTACCTCCCAGTGACCGTCCTCATCAGCTTCCCAAGGAAGAACAGCAGGCAGAGAGTGGTGTGGTGCTTTGGGGTTTTGATTTCAATGGCAGTTTCCTTTAAATAGAACGTTCCTGCCATGGAAAGATTTAAATCCCTGACTGAGATCAATTAGCCTGGGAAACAAGGGAAGTATTTTAATGGCCCTTTGATTGCAGAGGCCACAGCTCCTCCAGCGCTGCACTGGAAGAGGAGGCAAGTCCCAGCTTGCAGCCCCATGTTTTGCTGCAAGGGGAGCTGGGGAGGTGCTGCCCTGCAGGAGCTTCCCAGGGCTTTCCTACCTGCGATGCTGGGCTTCCCACGCCAGCAGGGACACCAGCCCAGGGCAGCACAGACCCTGGGGGCTGCAAAGCCTTGGCAGCCCCTCTGCTGAATTAGGGCAGGAAATGGGGTCAGCGCCGTGGCAAGCACCAGCCAAATGGAAGGCAGCCAAGGGATTACACGAGAGGCAGTGTGAGAGAGCCCAGGGCCATCTGATGGGAGAGGACACTGTCAGAACAGAGTGACGGCTCCTCACACAGCCTCTGCAGTTGTGACACACAAAGCTGTCTGCTGTTTGCATGCCTCAGTGGGGAGCACTGCAGACCGGCCCCGATGCTCCTGACTGCGCTCTCCAGGCGGAATTCAGCTGCCCCTCCAAGATGAGGAGCTACCAACTCAGCAGCAGCAGCAGGCAGACAGCAAGGGCCATGGGGCAATTCCAACAACCAGCATCCCCAAAGGCAGACAGGTCAGCGAGGTGCTGAAGTGCTCTACAGGTCAGGAGAAGAGACCATGTTCGGCCCAACTTCAGCTGCAGCTCAAGCAGGTAAGAGCAGCCCCACCGTGGACACTGCATCCTGCAACCGCAATGTTCCCTATCTGTGAGCAGCAGGAGTTAGAAAACCACAAAACCTCCCCGTTCAGGATCCAAGGACACTGCAGAGCTACAGAAGAGAGAAACTTGGCTGCGAGCAGCAAGGTGTCTGCTGAGCAGTGACAGATTCCAGCAGAGCTTGGGCCACACAACTGGTGCCTCCTGCGTGTGCTCAGCATCAGCCCTTCCTGAGGGCAGGTTTCCACCACAAGCTCTTTGGAGCAGCCACACAGTACATGGGATCTCCCAGCTCTGCTGGAACCTCTGGGATCTCACCCCACAGAAGACAAGGATGGACAAGATGCTTGTTCCTTCCCAGCAAAACCAAACCCATGGGAAAACCAAAGCCACGGAGCCATGATTCTGAGCAGCCTGGATCCTGCAGAGTGCTTACTCCCAGCAGTGAGCATCCAGGGTTTGGGGTACACTTAAAAGGACCCCAGTTCTCACAAGCATGCAGCCATCACAGGATGGGATTCAGGGTACTACTTACACAGACAGGCACCTGCACACACATGAACTCTCCATCTGCGCCTGCAAAGCTGTGCTGCTTGCTTTGAAAACAAGAGCAGAGCGCTTTAGCCAAGAGTATTACAGCAAACCAGTGGCAAGAATGGGGCCCCGGAGCCCTCACATGGGATTTGCCACTAAGCATCCCCTCTACTGCATAAAGAGGCAGGAATGGAGATTCCTGCTTTGCAATCTTCTGCTTTTGGAGGGGTCAATGGAGCCTACCTACCACCAGTGCCCATCTTCACAAGCCAATGAGGCCTCTTGTTCCAGCTGGGCCCAGGTGGAACACAGCAGCTCCAATGGTAGCTTGACCATCTACCCTAGGTGCTCATAGCATTAACCATGTATCCTGGAGGCTCAGAGCCCTAACCATCTACCCTAGGTGCTCATAGCATTAACCATGTATCCTGGAGGCTCAGAGCCCTAACCATCTACCATAGGTGCTCATAAAGAACCCACAAGGGCACTGGCTGCAACATCCTGGATGAATACGTGGGCAAAAGGCTGGTGCCAGGCTCCTTGCTGCCAGGCCCTGCACTGTCCCTGCTACTCCAGACAGCAGTGGCTCAAACTGGAGCTTTGTGTCTTTGTGAACACCAGCGGCACCACCTGAGGTCCAGGCTGAGCCACAGCTGCACACCAAAAATGTGACCCTAGAACACATCTCCCAGCAAGAGCAGGATCCGCTCATGGTGATAAACCCCGATACCAAAGTGATGACACTGAATGCTGTCACAGGCTGTGCTGAGCACAGCAGCCCTCTCACCAGCTCCAAGCAGCTTTGTGGGGAGGCAAAAAAGCCCTGATCCCATCAGCTTGGCAGAATCTATTCCCCACTGATCCCAAGTGATCAGCTTCCATGTTGAAGGAACATTACATTGGAGTCGATGGAGATTTTCACTTGGGTTTTTTTTGCTTCTCCTTTTCCTTTTTTTAAAGCAAGAATTGAAAGGCAGCAAACCTAAAACTGCATTAAACTGGACTTGGTTCACCCAGGGGAAGCAGAAAGGTTAACGTTCTCCATGCGGATGCTGTTTTGAATCCAGCCCCAGCAAGGAACGCCACAACAGTCACTAGTGTCCAACATGCCTGAAGGGCAAGAGGAGAGGACAACATGGGCGAGCCGGGGCTGGGAGAAGGGGAAAGAAGCAGCAGGAGCTGCCAGGCTCTTCCCTTCTCCCTGGTCCTGTGGCAGCTTTGGGGGCAGCCTGCGCTGGCCGGTTCCGAGCAGGGGAGCAGCAGTAACTTACTTTCAGCTACGCAGCCTACGAGCAGCACAGACAGGAGGTTCAGGAGGGAGACCAGCGGAGACATCCCAGGGCTGGGAAGGATCCTCATCCTCTGCAGCGGCCTTCAGCCCCAGCCGGAAGGCTCCGGCTCAGCAGGACCCGCGGCGTCTCCCCAGCGTTGTCAGCACCTGCGGAGGCACAAAGGCACTCAGAGGGAGGAAGGAGGGAAGAGGAGCCCAGAGAGAGCCCAGAGAGAGCCCCCCCCTCCCTGCGGGGGGAGGCCAGGCAGCCTTCGCCTTGGTACCACAAAGGACTCGGGTCAGACGTAAGGAACCCGCTCCCTGTGAGGGTGCTGAGGCGCTGGCACAGGGTGCCCAGAGAAGCTGTGAGCACTGGTGAGCTCCCATGCACACCCTCACAGCGCAATGAGGAGGCACCGACTGCCAGAGCCCGTGTTTGAGGCTCAACTCCCATCGGCTTCTGTGCCCCCCAACATGCGAGGAAGGAGCAGTGAGGGGTGAAGGGGTCTGAGCCAACAGGGCCCAGGCACCCCCCAAAAGGGCACAGGGCAGGAAAGGAATCCATAAACCTGGCACAGGAGGAGCCGTGCAGAGGGACTGCAGGCTCTGTGCTGTGCAGCTCCCATCACCCCAACCACCCACCCTGACCCTCAGCCCTAGGATCAGCATCCTGAAGGCAAACGCACGCTGCCAGGTCTCCCGGGATCCCTACCATAAGCTGGGATCACAGCAGCTCTCCTGCATGTCCCACAGTGCCCGGTGCCTCCACAGTCCCTATGCTGCCCGGTGCCTCGGCTTCCACACACACAGAGGATCTGCATTACAGAGCTAACACAGAACTGGCAGAGCTAAAACCTGGAGCAGGAGGTACCACTGCTGACCCTGATGGATCCTAAGGCGCATTCCCATGGAGACAACGCCTGGCTCCAACGAGCTGCCTGCTTGCAGTTTTATCCTGATCCCTTTTCAAAGCTGGACTGGCATTAAGGGAGCTGTATTGTTAGCAGCTACCCCAGGCCTGTGTGTCAGCACTGGGAAACGCTTCATCCTTCAGTGACAGAGGTGAGCTTTGCCCCAGAAGGGCTGAAAATAGAGTGAAAGCTGCAGCCACAACCTCCTGGTAAGGTCAGCAGCTGAAGAGGCTCCTCCATGAGCCGCTGAGCACCAGAACATTGGGATGCAGTGGTGTGAAGGATGCTCTCAGATGTGCATGGATTCCTTCCTGCCATCGGTTACCCCAATTAAAAATCAAACCCAGGGTTTATCACCTTTTGGAGAAGAGCCAGGTAGGGGATATTGTACAGGATCAAAGGCTTTCAAAGCACTAAGGGGATAGTGAGGTTGCTTAAGCTTTCTGATACACATCAGGGTAAGAGACCGTTGGGACAGGCAGGGTGAAGGGGCATTTTAGTCCTTTTCTGTCCTGTTAACTCTCCATGGCTGGACTGGACAGAATGAAAAGCAAAGGCAGGATAAACACGAAGCCCTCGTATGTACTCGGCCCTAAAGAGCAACTTCTCAGCAACAGCTTTGGACTTGCCCTTTGAGGTTTACAAAGCCTCTGCTGTGTGCTCTGTGTTAGCCCAGCTCCATCGTGCTTCGGCGCTGCCTTGTGCAAAGCAAGCAGAAATACTGATACTGTCACAAAAAAGAGACCAAATTGGGATTATAGCACTAGGAACCTCTTCAAATGTTTGCTCTAGACACACTCAGAGGAACACAAAGGCTCCAGCCAGACTTAACACGGGGATCGCAGGGTTCCAGGGCACAGAACAACGCACTGGGGTTTCTTTTGTTGTTGTCAGGGGCGAGCAGAGACTGGGAACGTTCTGAATAGCTGTGATGGGAACTGCTCATTAAACTGGGGACGTGGTGGCAATGCCAGCACAACAAATGGGACCGTGATGCTGTTCGCTGGCTCTCCCTTCTCCAGCCATGCAGCTCCTAGCTCCCACCAGCGAGGCTGGAGTCAGAGAGAGCATCCTCCCAGCCACATCGGTTCTCTCTGGCACCCCTCCCAGGGCAGAGCAGTGCAGAAGATCTTGGTTCTCTTTATCAGAGCAATATCCCCCTTGCCACAGCTCCAGTAAATGCCTCCAAACACCAACTTGAGCCTCATCGGCTCTCCAAATGCAGCACCAGTGACCCTCCACTGCACTGCCCCATGCAGCACCCCCCAGGATGCTGGAGCTGAACGCAGGCACATGAGGGAGATGCTCCAGCCTGGCAGCTCTGCTCCCCACACCTAGCACAGCTCTTCATGCTGTAACGGGCTCCGATAGAGAAGGTCTGGTAAAGGGGATACAGCAACAGCTCCAAGATTAGAGAAGGAGACGCCAGAGGGTGACACTTCCGCTCCGGTGCTAATGTGCTTCCCGAGCCCTTGATGGAGACAGAAAGGGCTGGCAGAGATATTAGGACATGTCAGCTTCAATCCAGCAACTCATCCTTCAGAGCAGGTCCGTCACTGCCTCCCTGCCCCTGGCTATGGGATTTTCAGGACACCAAGATGTGCACCCACCTGGATCCCTCACGGACAGCAAGGAGAGGCTGGGACAGGAGCTTGCTCTGCTTTCCTGGCAGCACCCTGGCAACAGGGAGACTGGAAACAGACCCTAATCCTCAGCACAGAACATGCCCCATGTGGCAAGCCAGCCGCCATGCAGCAAGGCTCTCCTGCCCTCCTGGCAGTGCCGAATTCAAGTGGGAATGGCTTTGAGGAATGCTCAAACCACGAGGGCTCTATCCCCGATCCTCTTCCCCTCTGCTTACCTTGCCTATGCTCCTGGAAGCAGGTCTGCATCACTCCTGCCTGGCTGCTGAGCCCCCAGCCAAGGCCCTGGCACCACACAAGCCAACATAATGGCAGTTTCCTGCACTGCTCCACGGACCTGCAAACCCTCTCTGAATGCTCTGGCACAAGATCTCCTGCAATGTAAGCAAGCCACCTAATAGACCTCAATCCTTGCTAAAGAATGCAATTAAGCGAAGCCGTGGCCCCCCGTGGGGTCAGATTTGTGCTAGATACGGTCACATTTCAGGAATAAGATTAATTCTTACAGGAAAAGGGCTCCTGTAAGGCATTCATTCTGTGCACGGCCTAATCTCCAGCCCAGCTCTGTCTGCACAAGCGTGCACCTCATCAGTGCCCAGCACAGGATCTGCACGAGCGCTGTTAGCAATAACAGAACTGAGCAGCATTGCACTGTGGCTCCTGCAGCCAGCATGGAGCGAGGGAGCCAAGGGTGCAAGGCACAAAGGGGGAAATGCTCAGCAGCACCCACATTTCTTAAGAGCTTAAGTTCCCCTGAGAGTCAAAGGGACTTAACTTAAGCCGCTAAGATGCTTGTGAAGCTTTTCCTCCCATTCGGACACCCAACTCCCCTAAGCCACTTTGAGGGGATACAGGAGGAGGGGGCCCGATCTCCAGAGCAGTTTGGCTGGCCTGGTCCTCACTGCTTCAAGAGGAGCCTGGGGGAGATGCTGCAGATACAGCTGTGGGGATGGGTCAGCCCTACGCAGGCATGTTGCCATGTGGTGCTTTTCCTTAGCCCTCACGCAGCCAGTGACAGAAATGTCAGTTCTGCGTTTAAAAACCCATAAACGCAGGAGGGAGGGACCATCCCTTCAGTTCAGATTCACTGGAATACAACTGGAAGACCAGTTGCACCACAGAAGCATTAGGGCTTCTCTTCTGTTTCAGCTGCCTGCGGAAGGGAGAAGGGTGACTTTAAAGCAATTCCCTGCAAAAAAGTTCCATCCAGATCCAGCAGATGATTAAACATCTTCATTTTCAGCAGCTGCTGCAGGAGAACGGCTCCCATTAGACATATCAATCGGAGCAAACACCTCGCAGGCAGAGGGCTGCGCCGAGGTCTCTTCTCCTCCCAGCAGCACCAGCTTAGTTTGTGCTGCGTATTAACCAAGGGCACTGGGTCACTTCATTTCCTCCCAGCAACCTCTTTATAGAGAGGAAGAAAAGCTTTTAGCACAACCACGAGCTCATTTGTCACCTCCCCTGGGGACGGGAGAGACCAGACTTCAATTTGCCACCCCATGCTCCTTGCTTGCTCCCATCTAACACCCTGCCCTGGGCAAACCCAGCGCTGCTGGGGCTGGGACCAGGAGCCAACGCTGGAGGCTTGTGCTGTGTGCCTGGATCGGGCCCAGGAGCCTATGTGGCATCTTCCACGGGACCAAGGAGATGCCAATGTGCCGTGCTGCCCCACGTGGGCCATGTCCTGCATTCAGGATGCTTTGCTGGCAAGTATGAGCCTCTTTTGTGGGGAAACAGAGCAAAAGGTGTGGAAGAGGCCCTGGGTGACATGGTTTAATGGGAGCACCTTGGCAGCACTGGGGTAATGGTTGGACTTGGTGATCTTAAAGGTCTTTTCCAACTGAGTTGATTCTATGAAGATGTGAGCATTGAAGGACTTGCTCCTAATGCTCATTTCCCCCTCCCCAGCCACTCTGGTGCTGACCAGCAAAGCCCTGTTTAATGGTGGGGAGAGCCCACAGCCAGCCCAGTTCCCTATCAGGCAGGAAAGCCTGTGATGGTGATGCCTCGGCTCGAAAAGCAGCCTTGAGCACACGAGGCTGCCATGCACCCATAGCACCAACCTTCAGTACACCTTGAGAACACAAATACACCCTGCCCACCAGCAAAGCTCACCTCGAGACTAAGCAGTGGCTCTAGGTGCCCCGCTCCAAGGGCTGGGCAGAAAACACCGAGCCCAAAAGACGATCCTGCCTGAAGAATGGGGTGTCCCATGGGGTATTGCCAAGCCTGGCTCTTCCCCTCTGGAAGCAGCCCCTCTTCTCCCCTCAAACCCAACTCCCAAACCCACTCCCCAGGGCAGGCCGTGGTGCTGGCAAACACAATTAGAGCAGCCAGTGGAGATGCTTCAGAGCTGAGCACCACTGTTTATCTAGCAGGGAGCTCCTTAGATCTTAAAATAATATTTACAAGAAAGAGGCAGAGTATTATCTTCCATGGGGAAACAAACACAGATGGAGAGAAAAAGAGCTTTGATCAGGGCTGTCTCGGTCCTATACGCTGCTTTTCATCCCCAGATCTCCAAGTGCTTTAATATGACAGTATTATCCCTTTTTACAATGTGGGAAACCAGAAGAAGCTGCACACTAAGGCAGTTCTCTGAGCATGAAGT